CAGCTTATTATGCCAGCGGGGTACCTGTTCACCGGCAGGGCATAGGGTGTTAATCGCCCGGACTTTGTTTTTTCCATTCAGCTGACTTCTCAGGACTTGCCTTAATTTCTGCAGGTACTTGGTGGTTGCTGCTTTCCTTGTGGGCTCTTCATGGTTCCCATTTGGCAGCGGGATCCCAGGGTACTTGTAGCTGTCCTTAACATCTGCTGTGTTGCCTTCTGGTTACCTTTCCTCTCCTTGTTACCATTCGACCACACTTATCCAGTCCGAATGACATTCCAATGTCCTGGCTGTAGATCCTAGTGGTGTGGATCAGTGAGTCGATGTCTCGTTCACTCCTGGCATACAGCTTGATGTCATCCATGTAGAGGAGGTGGCTGATGGTTGCTCCATTCTGTAGTCGGTATCTGTAACCACTCTTGGTTATGATCTGGGGGGTTCAGCCCTATGCAGAACAGCAATGGGGACAGTGCATCTCCTTGGTAGATACCGCACTTGATGTTGACTTGTGCATATATATATACTGAGATGGATTGGCGACCTGTCCAGGGTGTACCTCGCCTTCACCATATATGTATATGATGTATAAGAATAAAGCAATACTCTCTATTGGGACACCTATCTGTGTGCATTATGTAAAGGATGTTTGAATGTTAAATGTGTACTGTTTTTAAAAAGAAAGGCATTGTTATTTTTAGAAATCACTCTGCCAACAAATGTTGGTCTGTGACCCTGCATTCTTTTCATTTAGAAGCACCAGTGTGCCTAAAAGTAAATTTAAATGTAGAGTCATGAAACAGGATGGGCAGAGTGATGAGGAAGAGAGAAATACAAAAATTTATAATGACAAAAATCATGATAGGACATAGATGTTTCTCACCTAGTTGCAACCTGGGTTTCTTTGTTATAGGGAAAAAAAATGCCTTGCATAATGTGAGACCTTCGCCTTGCCAAGCCATGTCAGCTTTTAGTGAGGGATTACAGGATTAATCAGTGATTAGTATCACATCAGAGGAACAACTGCAACCATTCGCTGTATACTTTCATCTTAGTCTTGTCAGGAAAAAGTCCTGTGTCCACCCATTACAATATCTGTTCTCTCTGCTAAATAGAGAGCATGGGGAAACTGAGAAAGTAGGTAAAGGTGAGTATGCACTGTAGAGAGTGGGGGAGGGTAAGAGAGAGAACGAGAGAAAAGAAGTAGGAAAGAGAGAGGACACTAAACTCCAAGACAATAATTAAGTGGAATATAGAGTGCACCCTCAAGGGTATGTCCGAATCATTACTTTGCATTTTGATGGAATGTGAGACAAAGTGGAAGCCACTTTATTAATGAGTTCATGTGTGGGTGGATGGCATTCACCCTGACTCTGCGACACGCTTGGCTGGACTCTCCCTCATACTTGCATATTCCTGGCAAGGTGCATATGCAGGTGACTCAGGGTTGCAACTACTCAGTGTACTACAAGCTGTGGAGACCAACCATGGAATTGTCAACTTTTTTACATAATGTCCCCACAATGTACCCAGTCATATGGATTTGTATGGGTTCATTCAGGTTTGACAGATATGGATTTGTGAGGCCAGTACAGATATTTTAGGGATCAGAGGCACTGATTGCAGGTCTGCTTTCTAAATAAATGCAAGTTCATAGACTTGACAAGTTCTTGAACAAACAACATTTTGAACATTGTCTACTGAAAATTTAGTTTAGCAATACCACATCACTTAGATCTCTTTTAAAATGTTATATTAGGATTAGTGGTGCTACGATACTGGAATTTCTAACTTCGATGCAATATTTTGAAAAAGGTGTTCAATACACAGGGAAAACTGACAGCATAAAATTTAGCATTTTATTTAAAAGATAAGCATAACAAGGCTAAAACATGACACTAATGTATGGTAAGATAATGCACGTTCTCCACTTAACTATTAAAATTAATCCAAATGTAATGAACTCCTTCTGATTCATGTTGATTTACAGACACCCAGCACCAATGAACACATCAGCTGTGTGTGGGGCTTGCAACTGGTCAGCATATGCTAAAGTTTGGCCAGCATGTGTCCTACTTGAGCCATGTCTGCCTGCAGCTGATCACTCACAGGTTCACAGGTAAAAGTCTGTTTACATAGCAGCATCACTGCATCACTTACTTTGTTAAATGTATAGTCTCTTCCTGCTGCCGAGTGTTTCATCTGTTTCCATGGTCCTGCAATGATTACACTCTAGTTTGTCAGTCTGGATGATCTGAGATTCGTTCCATCACTTGTCTTTTGCAAGGGTCTGCAGTGGACACTAAGAAATATGGCTATGAACCATCCATGTTATTCGTGTGTTACTGGACAAAATGCAAACACTTACAGTGGGTACGGAAGGTATTCAGACCCCCTTAAATTTTTCACTCTTTGTTATATTGCAG